GTCTTGAAGCATCACTTAAAAAGGATGAACAATCAGATATTGATGGAAATGAATTATATGTAGAATTAAAGTTACTAAAAGACTTTTTGCCAATGGAGAATATGGGGCCTGTTGATATCTTGAAAATTTTAAAACGTCTTGATTGCTTTCCTAATGCGGTTATTGCATATAGAGTTCTGTTGACTATTCTCATTACTGTTGCAATTGCATAACGAAGCTTTTCAAAATTGAAGGCATTAAGACTTGCGTGCGGTCAACAATGACACAAGAAAGACTTAACGGATTGGCTTTAGTGGCAATTGAGAGCGACATATCGGAGAAGATTGCATACGAAGATCCTATCGACGACTTTATTTCAAAGAATCTTAGAAGGACAACATTATTTGAATAAATGTAGTTTGATTTCAAAATATTGGATGTGATTTTGATGCTCTTGGTATATTAGTCGAAGAAGAATTGCATTTTAGTATGAAATATAATTATAAAATATGATATTACTTTTTTATTTAATTATTAATAGTAGGAATTGTGCTTAATTTATTTCTTTACGAGGGATCATAGAATCGTTGCTTCACAAGCGATCGTAGAAATTAAATGGATTAACGAGAGGGTCCCACCAAATCCAAGACCCAATCAATGGAAGTGGACGGGTACAAACAAGAGCAGCAGGAATAGGATAATGTTGAAGCTAGCAAGCTTTTTGTGCAGATAGATTTTACCAATTACGTGGAGCCTTACGCACTCCATCGTCCCCTTTTCTTACTTGGCATTCCAATCTTATTTCACGCTTCTCATCCGTAAGATTAAAACGTTTTTGGGGAATAATTAATACGGAGTATGTAGTGGTTTAGTACACTACGTTTGAATATTATATACGGCTCCTTTTCATGGATTATTAGGATCACATTCGGATAGAATTGCGCCGGCCTACTTACGTATATTAGTTAGTTTTTCTACTATACCAAGGACTAAGGTACACACTACCATAATGTCAATTCCGGTATCAGTTCTGATCGTCTAATGAATTTGGAAGTTCCGATTTAAAATGACGAATTGAGGCCCTTCAAAACAGAAAAATATACAAAATTTAACAATGAAATACAGATAAACTAGATAGTTCAGTGAAATATAAATTTTATGGTTCTTAAAGTACACAAATTTGACAATCTAAAAGTATATACCTTTTTGAAATCTTGAATATTACATAATCTAGAAAAATCAACGTATACCTAATATTGCATACTGATTTTTTGGAGGCTCCGTATACAAGAGTGGGCTCTGATGTCAATCACCTATTGCACCTCATAAAAGATGGCCTTGAGTTCAGACTTAGGTCGTCTAATGAATACCCCGATTTCACATGTAAAATTGAAGCTCCACATTATTATAAAAAATATAAAAAATCAATATAAATACTTATAACTTATATATTCAAATCAATTCAATGCTCATTAAACAAAGGTCAACCCTTATAGGAGTAGTCCATGATCTTATTATAATGTTAATTTTTTTAGAGATCAAGTGTGGGACAACAACACCCCTCCTCATGACTAGGGGTGGTTCGGTACGGTATACCAAATATTTTTTTCCATACTTTTGCCGTACCAAAACTTTCGGTATACAAAATTTATATACCGTTGCCTTACCGAAGTTTCGGTTCGGTAACAGTACGGTATCAGTAAATTACCATGCATGTCCCCCAATACAACAAATTATCATATACTAATAAGATATACTAAATTAGTGTCTTACTAATGAAATATTTAATCCATTTTAAAAATGTTACAAATACAATTAATAATCTATTATTGTCATATTCGATGTTCAACAATAATTATTATCAATGTATCTAAGCAGTTCAACATGCCACGTATTAAAAAATAACACATTCTCCTAAAATAATTTGAATAATATAGATATAATTAAATGAATAGTGATCTTTAACAAAAATAAATAAAATTATTCAACAACGTGGATATAAAAACAGTTATCCCTAACATAATATGGTGTGTCTAGTCATTTTTATATATTTTTTAAAAAAATATTTGAATAAGACTTTCAGACATAGTTGTGTGCCTCAAGTCGTGGAATATATCCATATGTAGATACACTCGTCACATAAGTGTATCCCTCTTCGCATGTTATCTACTCAGCGGCTCAACCGCTCAGCCATCGCGACTCGCAAGCAGAGCCGACTTTAGGCCCTAGGAACCTAGGCATGAGCCTAGGGCACCAATTATATGTGGGGCACCATTTCAAAAAACTATTCTTATTGTGATAAATAAGTGGTAAAAGATTTTATAAATGTAATATAAAATATGAGCTTTTGGGTATTCGTATATGAGTGTTTCAAATATTACTTCTATTTTATTTTTGTTTCAAATCAGGACTATTTATGTTAATATATTTGTCTAGGTAAGGGTGGAGCTAGAGGGAGATCAACTTAGACCCTGCCCCACCCCAAATTTAAAAAATGCCTAAATTTTAAAGGTGACAATTTTCCGTGAATTTTTTTTCCAAATTATTCTTTGAACCAGCCTAGTTTGAGTGTTTGACCCAGTTTCCAGACTCCGCCCCTATATCTAGGGCACCAAATGTTCTGGAGACGGTCCTGCTCGCAAGCTTATGGAACAAGATTGATTGGTTTGGACATTAGTACATTATTCGTTAGTCATTTGGCTTAGTTTGTTTGAAGGTTACGTGGTAGAAGCCTAGACGGTTATAGTGAGTTTGAGAAATTGAGCCTTTATTTTTGTATTTATTATTTGTAACCAACATAAGTATTAATTTTGGGCTTCAAAATTGCAATGGACTTTTACAATATTTTAGAATTTAACGTAATTGTTGGGTAGAGAGTCGGTACGGTATTATACCGGTATACCACGATATTTGAAAACATTTATCGTTACCGTACCGAAATAAATCGGTACAGTATGATACCGTACCGAAAATGACGGTATACCAATATTCCGTTATTTTTCGGTACGGTAAGTGCGGTATACCGATTTTATGGTATTTTTGCCCACCCCTACTCATGACTAGACATTTCATCTGGATCTTGCCGTCATTTTTCATTTGGACTCACACTATGATTATGGATTCATTTGGCTCTGATAGCATGTTACGATTTGAGTTTCCATACTAAAAGATCAACCTGATATATATATCTAAGAGACTAAAAAAATATAATAATATCAGTACCTAGTCCTAAACCATTATCAGAACCTGTCTTTATATATATACACACACACACACACACACACACACACACACACACACACACACATACACACACATATACACACACATATATAGGGAAGAGATCAAATAAAAAGAGATTCTCCCGTGCAAAATGCGAACAGTTCCATTTTTTCATCACCGCGTTGCACTTTTGCGTAATTATGTTGCACTTTTTCGCGATGACCTGGTAAAAAAATTCGTTTTAATTACGAAATTGCCACCACGTTTTTGATCACTAGGTAGTTTACTACGGTTGCTTAACTTGACACTCCAAAGCAACGAAAACGCGGCAAATAATTTGCACATAATTTTATTGATATGCGAACAGTAATTAGATTCAAAACCATAGTGTAGAAAGGGGCAAAATTTGGACTACGATAGTGAAATAGATTGAAAATCTTACATTATATTCACTTTTAGTTTTATAATACATTAAGTAATTCAATGTTACTATTTGTAATCACTTTTAGTTTTAAATTTTCAGGATGAGTAAATTGCTTAGACATCATGCATGACGAAAAAATAAAAGTTTCAAAAGTTAGAAGTAGCAGTAGGCCTAACAAGACCGGAACTGATTTTGTAAAAATTAGGGAATGGAAAATCGGCGTTTAAAACCCGTGCCAAAGCCTAAGAGGGCTAATATTAAAGAACAGAGGGAGTACTATTTTCAAAATAATTGTTCAAATAATTGTTCTGAAAGATCTTTACACTTTCAATTTTTAGCAGTACAAGAAAGATCTTTACACTCCCTTATTTGCCTTATTTGGCAAATAAATCTACACAAAACAGTGTCAAACAGTGCTAAACAGTGTCAAACAGTGCCAACCAGTGTACTTTATAGTAAAGTCAAATTTATTTCCTTAAAAAATGTGAAGTCAAAGTGTCAAGATCTTTTTGAACCGGAGGGAGTATAATATTGGCATGTGCCCCATTGCACTTGAGCAATGTTCGGCCACATTCGATCAAGTTGGAGAATTTCAAATTATGCTTGTTTTGTTCCCCCCCGAATAAACGTATGTTCTATGTATATTTTACAATTTTAACATTATCAAAACCTGAGCTAAACATTCTAAATTTCTAATTACTACCTAGTCTTAAAAATAAAATTATAATTAATTTAGTTAATTAATTAAAGATAGAGTCGTGAAGGATAGTGGCTAGTGGCGGAGAATTAAAGATAGAGTCGTGAAGGATAGTGGCTAGTGGCGGGGCCAGAAATATATGGTTAAGGGGGCCGAGCTTTGAGATTTAATAGTGTAGAGGTCAAAATTTAAAATATCAACATATACTTAAGATTTATTTTTCTTGCGGGGCCAAGCCCCCCTCGGGCCCCTTCCTGTGTCCATCCCTGGTAGTGGCTAATTAAAGAGAGTCATGACTTATGGTTGTTAATTAATTATTTAATCTGTTACACCATGTATGAAATCGTCACCCTTGCCAAACTTTAATTTGAGAAATTTTCAACATGAATGACTTCGAAGCAAGGCTTAACATCTCGGCCCCACCACACCTTCATCCCTCGTTTGTTTACCTATAAAACGGCAGCTGCGGAGCCCTAAGTTTTCCAAGTTTCAAGTCAAACTCCCATTCATAACTAACTCTCTGCTACGGCTCCTCTTTTCTCCCTTTAAAGGGAATAACCAAGAAAACCCAAAAGACAACAAAAACGGCTCCTTTCCCTGTTCCTCTTTTTCTCTCAGGGAAGGCAGATAAAAGAAGCATAGAATAAAGTGAGATAAAAAAAACCCAGAGTAGAAACAGGAAAAAAGGTGAAGACTTGATAGGGAAACATGGGATTGAATCAAGAAATGTGGAAAGTTTTTGTGGTGTGGGCAGTGGTGTTATTGGGCACTTGGGTTTCTGTTGGAACTGCTTCTGTATCTTATGATAAGAACTCTTTCATCATCAATGGCCAAAGAAAGATTCTTATTTCTGGATCAATTCACTATCCAAGAAGTACCCCTGAGGTTTCTTTTCTGTCAAATGCATGCCCACAATTCCTATGTTTATCCAACTCCAATACATTCTTGGTTTTGATTTGGGCAGGCCTTTTCTATTCCTGTGTGTTTTTTATGATTTGAAATGTTTAATGTTTCTTGGCACAGATGTGGCCAGATCTTTTTCAGAAAGCAAAAGAAGGAGGATTGGATGTAATCCAAACCTATGTTTTCTGGAATGGGCATGAACCTAAAGCTGGCCAAGTATGCAAAACATATTAACAGTAGTCCATATAAGTGTTTCACATGTTACTCTGTATATTCTCTCCATGTCTGCATTTTAAGTGATCCTCTTTTGGTATGGGTGAAATTTGCAGTATTATTTTGAGGGGAGATATGATTTAGTGAAGTTCATAAAGTTGGCACAACAAGCTGGACTTTATGTTCATCTCAGAATTGGACCTTATGCTTGCGCTGAATGGAACTTTGGGTAATTTTGTTTTCATAAAAACTGCACATCAGTCCCTTTTTACAAATAGTTTGTTTGAACATTTTCATGGTTGAATTTCAGCGGTTTTCCCGTTTGGCTGAAGTATGTTCCAGGTATTAGTTTCAGGACAGATAATGGACCTTTCAAGGTTAGAGCATGCATTTTGTACTTCAAATTTTTTTTATGTACTTTTGTTATATATTTATATATTTATTTATTAACTTCTTTTTCTGAATCTTCTTTCTCAAATTCCCTGGTAAAAAAGGCTGCAATGCAGAAGTTCACCACAATGATTGTTAACATGATGAAAACACAAAGGCTGTATGAATCTCAGGGTGGTCCAATCATCTTATCTCAGGCAAGGCTGGCTATTTAAAGGATGCTTGCTAATAGTTCTAACATCAAGTTGTTCACTTACGACTCACCTCAATTGAAAATAAGAATTATTTATTCATTAAAAAATTGATTTAATAACTAAGACTAATATGCTACACATTTCATAAGACCACTGTTTGACAATTTTAATACTCCCTTCGTCCCTAAATAAAAGAATCTGTTTCCTTTTCGGGCCGTCCCTAAATAAAAGTTCCATTTCCTTTTTTGGCAAACAAAACAGTGCAAAACAGTGCAAAATAGTGTCAAACAGTGCCAAACAATGTCCAAACAGTGCCAAACAGTACCAATCAACCCCACTTTCTTAAAATGTGTGGAAAACGAATGGATACTTTTATATAGGGACGGAGGGAGTACATATTTCTATTTGACTATTTCTATGAAAAAATCAATATAGAAAAGACGTATGATAAGTGACTCGTAATTCATAGGATAATTCTTCACATGAAATAAACAGTTTATAACACAAGAATCCTAATTCAGACATATACTTCGTATCTTTTAATCTTCCTTAATGGAAACAAACGTCTTAATCTAAGAGTCAAAGACAATGACGATCCACAAAATATGTTTTAGAAATTGCTCTAAATAGGAGTAAAAACGTTTTGAAATTTCAAAATAGGAGTATCATGTTTTTTATTCCTTGAATAAGAGTAATCTGCCAAGTTTGGAAAAAAATGTCATGTTTAAAAGCCTAGTAATGCCAAACTTGACAGAAATTTACTCCTATTTAGGGAATAAAAAACATGATAGTCCTATTTTCGAATTTCAAAACTTTGTTACTCCTATTTAGGGAATTTACTCATCAATCTGTTTTGATCGGAATGATCAAACTCTAAGATCAATTACAACCCGAGTGTGAAAAATATAAATTTTAACTTTTCATTCCAGGGTCTTTTATAATAACCAACTCACTTTTACGCCAAAAGAGAGGTAAAAGTGTTATAACTTCATTTTTATTTATAGAGAAATTACTCATAATAGAACTAAATCAGTTTGAAAATTTCAAAATAGGATTGCCATGTTTTTATTCCCAAAATATGACTAATTACTGTCATGTTTTGGCAGTACCGGACTTCAAACATGACGGTATTTTCCAAATATGACAGTAATTAGTCCTATTTTGGGAATAAAAAACATGACAATTCTATTTTGAAATTTTGAAACTGTTTTAGTCCTATTTCGGGAACTTTTCCTTATTTATATTCCAATTTTAAAAAACACATATATTCAAATTCGCAACTTTTTATGGTCTTCTATACAATATCAATATCACATATATAAACATGAAAAAATCCGAAGATCCAGCTCTTTGGGGTTTTTTTAGACTCGATGTTTTTAGATAAATCCAAATGCTAAAATTAATATCTCATAGTTACAATATTCTTTTTTTACAACAAAACTAAAGTCCAAATTTATTTATTTTTAAATCAGGAATGTGTGAGTTTTTATTTATCTAGAAAAATATTGGTAAAAAATGATGCATAATAATAAAAGTAAGGATTTAATTGAAAAAATATATAACATAGTGAATGTAAGGTGGCTGAGAATATATTGCAAGAAAAAAATCTAATTAACATAGTGAATATATGTAAGGTGGTTGAGAATTTGAAAAGACAATTGTTGGTAAAATCAATTTCGATCAAATAACTAAATAAAGTGTTACTCACTCCACTCAAAGGCAAAGTTGACCGTACCAAGCCAGGCCTTAACCTAGTTAGCTTTTTTACGTTTTATACATGTATCATTTTTTGATTAAAAAACATGTTTAAAACTAAAAATAATGTCGATTCGTATAAAAAGAAACAAAACTCATACTTCCTATATAAAATATATTTTTTCCGTATTTTACAAAAAACATAAACACCAATTGAATGAATGCATTAAATGAATAGGAGATCAACAATACGTTAGAAGTAAAAATGAAAACGTATTCCTATTGATCCCGTGTTTTTGTGTTGTTACAATATAATTATTAATTACTAAAATTAATTGCATGACGGCTAAAACTAGCATCCTAAAAGACTAAAGCGTAAACTACTAGATTTCAGATGTTTTTTCAAACAAGCTAGCATTTTTTAGTATAAACTTTTACACATAAACAATTATAAACTTAGGAATCACACATCTTTTCTCATATGTCATCCGTCATCTTGATGAAAATGATAAAGTTTAACTTCAGTGTTATTTGATGATCATTTTAAGATAATGATTCTAACTTAGTCTCATTCTATTGTTATTATACCTTACTTTTTGACATTATTTTGCAAATTATGTCTTGAACTTGATTACTATTTTTATTTTTGTCATCGACTTATGCAATTATGAATTATTCTTTTATGTGAAAATGAGATGTGCTACTTGAATATGTGTATACTTTTATTTTTCTCACTATATATGTTATTTTTTGAAATATATAATTTAAACGTTTAAAATAAGACTCCGTCTTTTTTGTCTGAATTTTTGCAACACATAACATATTATACGCATATACGCATTTACGCGTTTTTTAAAAGTCTACGTTTTATTCAACGAATTCTCAACTATGTTTTTTATTCATATTAACAAATAAAATGTGTACTTATTAACCTCGTTTAATTCCCGTACCTTATTTAACTGGTGTTAGATTCTATCCTCCTTACTTTCATAACATTCCATACTAACTCCCGAAATGTTACTAACCGACAGATTGAGAATGAATATGGTCCAATGGAGTATGAACTGGGTGCTCCAGCAAAAGCTTATGCACAGTGGGCTGCTGGAATGGCTGTCGGCCTCAACACAGGCGTCCCATGGGTCATGTGTAAGCAAGATGATGCCCCTGATCCAGTTGTAAGAGTGTTTCTTTCACTATTTTATTTTTCTACCTTTGATTTTTTTTCTTTTGAATGGAAATTATCTATATTGAAATTGATAAATCGAAGATCATTACGATATACTTTAAGTAGTACCAACCTCAATTGGAAGCTATCACCCACAAAGGCCCGCAAGAGTGGCTAACTATGTAATGGACAAACGAAAACTTAATTTGATCATGTATGTATATCTTAATGCTTCTAACCAGATATGAAAAACCTGCAATTTAGGTCATTTGATTAGTTTAGGTCAATTAGTTAGTTTAAGCATAAAATAAAACAGTGACATGAAACACCATAACTTAGTATGGACTATAGTAGCATTCACCTCTAATGTAACTCCAATGTAATGAAAGCATAAATAAATAGGACTACGGTTGTTTTGTTTTAAAATTATCACCCATTCACTCTTACTTTGAAAAGTTTTAATCAACTTATTCTTTTAATACGATTAAATAAGTCTTCTTTGGGGTAGGAAATGTATTTGGTCGTACATTAGAACTTTGTCTAAAAATTGATTCACCCTAACACCTTGGTATGCCTATTCTTCTTCCCCCAGATTAACGCATGCAATGGTTTTTATTGTGACTGGTTTTCACCAAATAAGGCTTATAAACCAAAGATGTGGACTGAAGCCTGGACTGCCTGGTAACTTGCTTTCTCACTTCTTTGATAAAATGGTTTGTTGATCATCCCAGTTTAGTAGCATTAATCATTTTGTTCTGTTTATCAGTATAAGTAAGGAGTGTTTCTTTGCTTTTACTTTTGATAAATGATTTATTTAGAGATTGTATCATTATGAAAACGGATTAATAGTAAAAGCTGGTTGCATTTGAAAAGAAAAATGATTTAAAAAATAAAAGTTGGAGTGTGTAATAGAAAAATTTGAAAGCAGCACCCTTAGCTTTCAAATTTAGCTTTACATTGCTTAACTCTAATTAGAATCACCAAGCCAACAATATGAAAACATTGCTTTTAACTTCTTTTTAAGCAAAAAATGTAAAAACATCTTTTAAGCTATTGCAACACTCCTTGGATATGCAAAGTAGTATTTAGTATACTAGTTTGGCTGAAATCAAAGATTCACTATTTTTTAGAGCCAAAGATTCACTATTTTTTGGCTTGAAAATATGATGGAATAAAACAAAATGGCTCACTAAACTGTCTGTGCTTCTTTATTGTGAAGCAGCAGTCAGTCCATGTATTTTTCGACGCGATTTTCACTATGGGTCATTCGGAAACAGTCTCTCTGTGCTTTAGTACAGGGGTAAGACTGCGTACATCCGACCCCCCCTTACCCCACCGTAGGTGGGAGCCTTTGCGGCACTAGGGTAATGATGATGATGATGATGAGTTTGGCTGAAATCAGTTACCAAATGCTATTCGTTTCAAAGTATTCTACAGATTCAGCCATTTTAGCAAAATGACCCTTGCCAAACAGAGTCTTGGTCATAATCCTGAGTAAATATATGTATTGCAGGTTTACTGGATTTGGAGGTGCAGTACCTTACCGTCCAGCTGAGGACATGGCTTATGCCGTAGCAAAGTTCATAATGACTGGGGGCTCATTTATCAATTATTACATGGTACGTTTCTTTAATATATACGGCATATATTATAATAAATTTGAAAATTATCTGGTGGATCTATACCTGATTTTCTTTGCTTTAAGCATCTAATTATTGTTGAAATTCTCTTTTACCAGTATCATGGGGGAACAAACTTTGGTAGGACTGCTGGAGGTCCTTTTGTTGCAACAAGTTATGACTATGATGCTCCTCTTGATGAATACGGTAAGAACAGACTATTATGTCATTTGATTTAAGAAAAGGAAGCCTAACTTCATCAGACTCATGCTTTTAAAGCATTTTATTTATTTATTTCGATATTTGGTCTATAATTTTCACAGAAATTATTAGAAAAATGAGTTATTATTATAAACATATTGCATCATTTGGTTAGTTAATATGTCATAAGGGGTGTTCCCTATAATATTACTAAAATAAAAGGGATAGACAAAATCATAACTACATGATCACTACCATCATTATGAAAACTTAGTCATGGTCACTAGACTCACTAAGATGTAAATTGAACATCACCATGGCCACTATGCGTTAAAAGCCAGATTATTGTCCATTCTTATTATAGTCATTTATTTGTCAGCATTTCATGTCAAACAGGATTAATACGGGAACCTAAATGGGGTCATTTGAATGATCTGCATAGAGCAATAAAGCAGTGCGAACCAGCATTAGTCTCTGGAAATCCAAATATAATATCACTAGGCAACCATCAAGAGGTTTGAATTAATCAATTTCTTCTCGGATCATCTTATATTATTAGAATTTCAAGTAATTAAAGATATCATACATATTTTATTGCGGTGTTCAAGGCACGTGTATTCAAGTCTAAGTCTGGAGCCTGTGCTGCCTTCCTTGCAAATCATGACCAAAACTCTTTTGCTAAAGTGGCTTTTGGAAACATGCATTACGACTTGCCACCTTGGTCCATCAGCATACTTCCTGACTGCAAGAATACTGTTTATAATACTGCAAGGGTGAGCCATAACAAAAGAAAAAACATTTTTTTGTAGTACATATATTATGAAGAATTATTAATGACAGCAAGTGTATTTCACATGAAGGTTGGTGCACAAAGCACACAAATGAAAATGACTCCCGTCAGTCGTGGATTCTCTTGGCAATCATATAATGAAGAGACATCATCTTATGATGATAATGTATTTACAGCTACTGGGCTGTTGGAGCAGATAAATACCACATGGGATTCTACTGATTATTTGTGGTATATGACAGAGTAAGTTCTTTCTAATTGATTTGAATAGCCTTGTTACATTTGAAATGTGTGTTAGGACTTCAACTTCACCTTTAACTTTGCATTCGTATGATATTTTCCGCTTTAGACCAATTCTGCAAGGATTTTTTTATTGCAACCCCCAGAAGACTTCATATAGGAGTTAAATGCACACTTATGCTGAAAATCACATTTCCTTGAATTCTTAATATGGGACTCCAGTTGTGTCGAACAGTTTGTCCCGCTTTGGCTGGATATGAAATAATAAACAAACTTTTAAGATCTTGAGTTATACCTTTTAAGTCGACCTTTTAAGGTAAAACTTCAAATCTTGATATGACTGGTTCACACTTCCCGCATCGACTAAATATGAAGTATCAAACGAACATATATGATATATTAGACTATTCTTCTATTAGGTCGTCTTAAATCTTAATAAGTTGACACTGAGAATTTGGAAATATGAAAAAGAAGATTAAACCAACTTAACCAACTAACTCTAGTTTCATTTTTATGCCATAAACTCCTAATATCAGTGTGAGCATTGATCCAAGTGAAGCGTTTCTGAAAGGAGGAAAGTGGCCTTGGCTCAATGTATATTCAGCTGGCCATGCCTTGCATGTCTTCATAAATGGTCAATTAGTTGGTACGCACTTTAGTTTGATTCGTTCTCTGAATTTAAGGGGGTAAGTCTAACCTCTTCTTCTCTTTTGTGCGGTAGTAATAGATCCATAATGACATGTTTTAACATCAATGTCGCAGGAACTTCCTATGGAAATTTAGAAAATCCCAAAATAGCGTTCAGTAAAGCCGTATATCTGAGAGCTGGAGTCAATAAAATCTCACTTCTAAGCATTGCTGTCGGTCTTCCGGTTTGTTCTCTCCTGTGATTCATAATATCTTTCAATTGTTATGTTTTATGCATTGTTAAGTCATACCACATTGATAAAATATAAGAATACAAACCAACATCTCAGGGTTTCCCTTGGTAGAATAATACTTAAAAATCTTAAAATGAATTTCACAATGATCTCATTTCATGATATAAGTTTTCTTACTCACACAGAATGTTGGTCCTCATTTTGAGACGTGGAACGCTGGTGTACTTGGCCCTGTTTCACTTAGCGGTCTTAATGAGGGAAAGAGAGATTTGACCTGGCAAAAATGGTCTTACAAGGTTTGTTGCGAGACACTTAAATGCAGTTTTATTTAATTTGTTAAAAATAATTGTTCTTCCCTGTTTATATACTTAATTCGGGACATTCTTCTATCAGATTGGTCTTGAAGGAGAAGCGCTGAAACTTCATTCGGTTACTGGTAGCTCTTCTGTTGAGTGGGCTGCGGGTTCTTTAGTGGCTGAAAAACAGCCTCTAACGTGGTATAAGGTGTGCACTCATTTACTCTTTTTTGTTCTATTAATTTTGTTCTTGCAACTTGTATCACTGATGAGCGTGTTATATGTTTTTAGTCAACATTCGATGCTCCAACAGGAAATGAGCCTTTGGCTTTGGATATGAATACCATGGGTAAGGGACAGGTATGGATAAATGGTGAAAGCATCGGACGCTATTGGCCAGCATACAAAGCATCCGGTGCATGTGGTTCCTGTAGCTATACCGGTTGGTTTACTGAGAAAAAATGTGTAAGGGGATGTGGAGGGCCTTCACAAAGATGGTAAGATAATTCTACCGAAAACAACGCCCTTTTTCTTGATTTAAGCTCTGTTTTGCACCGAAAAATATTTTCCTCGATTCGTTAAACTTTTGTGGAAAAAGTCTACCCCTTTTGAGAACCGAAAGCTATTTTCATGGAGTGGTTAGATAAATTATATAGAAGTATTTCAGGTATCATGTTCCTCGTTCCTGGCTCCGTCCAACGGGAAATCTGATAGTTGTGGTTGAAGAATTGGGAGGGGATCCTTACGGAGTCTCTTTGGTGAAAAGAGAGGTGGAGAGTGTCTGTGCGGATATATTTGAAGGGCAACCACAGTTGATGAATTGGGAGATGGAAACATCAGGCAAAGTTAGCAACCAACTTAGGCCTAACGCTCATCTCTCATGTGGACCTGGTCAGAAGATTACTTCCATCAAATTTGCTAGCTATGGTACACCACAAGGAAGCTGTGGAAGCTTCCAGGAAGGAAGCTGCCATGCTTTCCATTCATATGATATTTTTGAAAAGGTATTCAGAATCTCTTATTCTTTATCACCTTTTACCCTCCAGTCTCATTCAGTGTAAACATGCCTATAATTCATCCAGTGCAGTATTTCACATAATCTCAGTAGACTTATCCCCCATGTGTTAAATATAGCTATTGGAACACCTTATAAGGTTGGTAGTCAATCAGTCATTAGATCATGGAAGCTCTTTTTTCAGTGAATGAGACTCATTCTTATTCTTAACATTGAAAATTAAAGAAATAATATTTTGTTGATAAGACATTGGGTTGAGTTAGCTAACAAATTAGATCAGACCTGTTAATGTGGTTTCGTCCAAATGACTTATGACTTAGTCGAGTGACCACAACCCAAGCTGAGTTCCATAAGAGTCCCCTTGAGATAAGCACATATTGGTTGTTGGATAAATATGAATTAACATTTTGTGTTGTAGTATTGCATCGGGTGGAACACCTGCACAGTACCTGTAACTCCAGAATCCTTTGGATCAGGAGATCCGTGTCCTAATGTCATGAAGAAACTTTCAGTGGAAGTTGTTTGCAGTTGATGATTTTGGAAGTATTGATTTAGTTCCTCGCTCCAACATACGTAAATGCTTTGAGGTAATTTTCAAGAGGCCAGGCTGCAATCTCAATAATTAGTTACTGCATATAATAGTCTTTTGGCATAGATACAGTTGTACAGATATACAAGACAAGCTTTGGCGAAAACAACATAAACTTCAGATGATGGATTTGGCAATATTATGTAGATAATACATTAGGAATGCCATTTGCCGCATAAAATATCAAAGAATAATTTGCTTTACTGGCACATTGAGATGAAGTTTAATTTAAATCCATGTGCTCATTTGTTTAGTCTATACTTATTTCATCATCAGTGTATAAGAAGCAATTATTTTATTGCTATTGCCATTGTAAGCTGTAAAAATGCTTGAAATGTTGTAATAATAATGTCAATATTTGTCATTTGAATTGTTGTCTCAGTTTTAGTTGGCTTCAGAACAACTTCAGTTATCAATTTAAAATGTCACTGGTGAATAATGTGAGCTCTCACCCCAGTGATAGTATTCATCTCTTGTATATGATCTCAGATGCATCCAACAAGGTGGCCGCTAGTGAATAGTCTATCTTTTGGGTCCTGAATTGATAAAATTCCTTATTTATAAGCACTCAACAATTTTTTCAATCTAAATTTTAACTTTTTTATAAAGGAAAGGTATGCATATGCATGTATTGACCGTCCAGTTCTCTGTATCGTTCTAATTTTATTCGATGTTTACAAAGGGATAAAATTATTTTACTAGCAGGAGTTAACCCACAACCTTTCACTTAATTGTAGGGCAAGAACCGCTGTGTTAAAATGCTCATTTTCCGTCCCGTTTAAGCATGGACCCGGGCGTGATCGGGCTTTTTTTTGGCATTCTTGAGGCCCGGAACCGGCCCGGCTAGCTACCGGGTCCGGGTCAGGCCGGGTTGGGCCGGGTCGGCTCGGTTACCTTATTTTTTTTTTTGATTTTCTAATTACTTCCTACCCCACACCCCTAACCCATCCAAAACACCCAGTCCAACCCATTTACCTCCCAAAAATTTTGAAAAACAAAAAAATGGCTCGGACCGGGCCCGGCTGGGCCTGTTCGTTTTCTGGAGACCAGGAGCCCGCCCCGAAAATAGGCGGTTCGGGTATATAGCACCCGGCCCGGACCCAGCCGGCCGGGTCGGGCCGGTTCGTTACCGTAGTGGGCCGGGCCGGTTCCGGTCCGGTTCCGGTTCCGGTCCGGTTTACCCGGCCCGAGTCCACCCCTAGTCCCGTTCTTGCTTCATACAATTTGAGATTTTATTTTTTGGCCTAATCATTTCCACTTGGACATTTGTCAAAAACAACACATAACAGAAAATATAAAGAAGTTGGGATCACAAAAAAATAAAGGGATTAGTAATGAATAGAATAAAAAATAAATTAGCATTTCATCGAAAATAAAATGACCCTTTTAAAAAACAAATTGAAATTAAAAATTAAATACTCCGGTAAACTGGATAGACTAATAAATTTAACAAAGTGAAGTGATCTCTCTCTGACTCTTGTTCGACTGAAAAAAGCGGCCACCTGGACTGTCTCCTTGCTACGAGGCGTATCCTGCCAGCGCCGCCGACCGCAAATCTCCTTCTCTGAACTGCCGGCCTCCGGTTCTTTTCCGCACACCTTTCTCTCTCGATTGGGTTGTCTCATTCTCCACATTTTACGTAATCGTATTCAGCATCTCCACCTCATGCTTTATCCTCTGCTTTTCTTAGCATTCAGTGTCGCATTTATCCTCACCTCCCTCCACTCGAAGCTCGCTCGGAAAGGAAACTCGGCGAGAACCCGAGAAGTTTCGGTCATTTGCGAAGAGCCTGATGTGGGTACGAATCCCGAGCAGGAGGGAATAGGGGACGCGAGCGGGTCCGACCCGACTCGGGTGACACGCCCTTTACTTCTCGACATCGCGCCGTCCATCTTGCCAAAATGGGAGGATTATGGAGGCGGAGACGGTTATGTGGCGGGGGAGAAAGAATCGGTTTCAGTTTTGGGGATGGAGGCGGTTAAAGAGAAGAGAAAGAAGAAGAAACGGGCTAAGAAGAAACGACCCGATTCGAATGGTGAGAAGGAGGCGCGAGAAGAGGTTGCGAGAGAGAAGCAGGAGTTGGTATGCGTTTACCCTTTTACGACGTCGTCTAGCGCGACTCAGAGGAGAATTAAGCAGCAATATGATGAGCTTGTCAGTTGTCATGCCTCCAATGGTTTAAAATTAGCTCAGGTAGTCTTCTTTTCCCCATTTCCATTCCTAATTCCGTCTTTTATTATTTATATTGTTTATCAAACTTTAATCATCCACTCATCATCCATAAAAAGAAAGATGATAAATTATGTTGTTTATCAACCTTTTACAATCTTACTTGGATAATCATTTATGAAGATAATAATGATTTCTTGATTGTATCAGTATCTCACCTTAAAAGTTATCCCTTTCATCCTTACATAAAAAGTCCTCTTTCAAACACATCTTTTGTTCCAAAGAAAGAGTACATGTTGATCAAAGGATTTTATTTTTGAATTCATTACCAAAAAAGAGTCACAAACAAGTTACTTATGATAAATGTGGGTAAACCAACAAATAACTTTTAAAGGGTTTAGCACTGTTCTTGATTTATAATAGTTGCTTCTTGCCAAAACAAAACGTTGTACATTGGTGAAACTTGACTCTTTTGCGGAGCAGATGTAGTACTATCTTTCACGATTTTATCAAGGAAAAGAATTTGTATCAGGAAAAAATGTAGAGCTAACTGTAAGTGAGTTTTGGGACAGTAAAGATTGTTACTTGATCAGTGTAACCTTATCCAAACTTATTTTCCTTTCTTCACTTGTATTTCAGTGTATACTTCTTTTGTAATTTTGTAATGCAGGTTGAACGTTTTGTGAATTGCTTGATTGAGACAAGAAATGAGCTAGAGCACAAGTATGGTCTTATAATTTCTTTATCACTTGTAAATCTTCATATATTTGGTTGATAACTCTTTATGAGCCCACTATTCTGAGAGCCTTTGTGTAATTGTTTTGAATCTTCTACACGAAAAAATCATTTGTAGACTCCACAGATGTTCTCTTAGTCTAAAAAATGTGATCTGATCTCAATTTTATAAGATTTGATTTGGTCTTATCTTGTAAGTCTAGTGACTCTGGTCTGAGTGTTTCTCATATTGTCTAATTTTCTTATTTGAAAATAACGTCTGGTGTAATTTGATCTTATATGATTAAAATATGGGTAACTAATTAAAAAAAAAAACAAAGAAGTGAACATATCATGACCACAGTCTACCATGTTATCCATAGATTGAAATACAGAATATTATCACTTTTACGTGGATCCAACTATCATGTCAAGGCATGTTATCAGTGTTTCCCATGTCATGTCTGTATGTCAAATACATGACTTTTCTCTATTGGCTTAGTCTATGCATGCTTTCCTTGTCTACAAATTAGATATGCGCTGGGTTTATAACTTTCACTCATTGATCATTTTTTTTAAACAATGACCAACTTTCATATCCTAAAGAAAGTTGAAACTTCTTATGATTTTTTTATTGATGAACTTTTCATCCTTGGTTTCTGATGTTGAACCAAAATTTGATTATCTAATTTGCTGAATGCCAGATTATAATTGTGATAAAACACTTATGACTTATCAACAGGTCTGAGACCATCCAAAGAAAATTCACCATAACAAAGGCCTTAATATTTCGGGCTGATAGGTCTTCATTAGATCGCCTTAGACAACAGGTGCTCAAAACTTGTTTTTCTATCCTCTCAAGTCTCAACTGATATACAAAATTATCACATATTGTTTGTGGTGCAACATACTAACAACTTGAAAAAAAATACAATGAAGATGTACAAGTTAGAATTAGAGCAAAAGAGACTGGAAGAGGATGCTTTTGTATATAATTGGCTCCAACAGCAACTTAAACTCTCTCCAGCATACAAAAAGGTATGAATATATTACATTTTCTTTTAATTAATCTCTTATCATTCATGATGTTTCCTATCACATATTCATGCCGTCTTTTTGCCAAATGTTCAAGAAGAATCTTTGCAACTCAGATTTCAACTTGGTTGTCCTCTTTTTATACTCTGTCCATCCCAAAGAAAGTGTTTTTTTGTTTTTTTACTCCATTTGTCCCCCAAAAAACACTTTCGTTCCAACAATTAGGCATGCTTGGTCAAATGGTGCAACTTTTCATGTAGTGTTCAAATAAGTCATACTTTTTTTCAGCATCATCACATAAATTTTAAGAGTATAAGTATGATTAGTTATTTCTAGCTGTTGTGCAATATCAATATGACTACTTTTTTTCTAGCTGTATTTTGGTCAAACATGACTACTCCCTTTGTTCCTTGCTATAGGACACTCTTTTGAATTTCACACAGAACAAAGAAATGATTTAAAGCATTTAAATAATCTTCAATTTCCAAATGTCCTTCAACATTTTGTTGAGAATGTGTTTAAGAGTTCACAAGAGGGACAATTGTAGGTGAAAAATATAATGTTCATTGATATTGCAGGAATGAATTAAATTTAGGATCACCTCAATATGCCTTAATACGAGTATAGGACCTAGTGAATTTTCAATTTTTGGGTCGGGGGAGGCATTAGTGGGTACCTCATTGGTGGGACTAAGGCTTCGATGTTGTTGGGGAGGCAGTAGTGGTTGTCGTATCTCTTTCACGTGGTATGATTGCTGACCTTTGGGCTCTCTCTTTGTTGAAGATGATTGAGATTGGTGCTTCCTTAGAAAGAAAATCCAAGTCTCGTGAAATAAAGAATACCGATGTCGAAGAATTTACTGAGATTTCATTCGAAGAATTACTAGCACGAGAAAAGAAGGATGTTTTTTGGTAGGTACCACTTCTTTCTTCCAATCACATATTTTAAGGGGGCGACGGGAGTGGGTTGTTAACTCACACTGCACATATTCAGCATCTCTAGTAGCTCAGTAAATAAAATTACCAATGCAGGCAGAGGTGTGGGAAATCTAAACCCCCTTGCTCTGGTTAACCGACGGACAATGGAAATTCGTTCTGGTGAGGTGCTTCACGGCAGCAGCTTGTACACCTGACACTCAGCAGCAATTTTTGAGCAGCCTGCGATGCTTGGCTTGCTGTCATAGAGAATAGATCTATAAGTAACTGATAATAGTGTAGTTACAAACATACAACATCTTTTATATATTTTCTTGCTAGTTTATTATTAGTAGCTTCTTCCAACTGAAGCTAATATATTCCCGTGCTCTATTCTGGCCTTGTTAGTCTGCTCTTTTATTTGGCCTTTATGTGCTGATTGATGATTTTGTGATTTCTTGAATTGCATACCAGCATTTAGGTTGCTGCAAATAATGGAATTGCAAATATTAACCTTTGAGTTTCACAGAGAGAGTTACCCATCAATTTGTTGATGATGAGGTGTTAAGACTTAAGGCAGTGTTAAGCTGCATATATTTTGGGACTTGGGGTTCCACATCAATATGGAAGGATTTTAATTTTTATTTCGTTTATCAAGCCAAATCAGAATGATGTATAACAAATCAGATCCAATTTCATATTTCAAATAACAATGTTTGACAAGATTGATGGAGTGGTTGTCTTTGCTTCTACTTTTGAAAATTGATTAATTTTACAGATTATATGAAAAAGGATTAATAGTAAACATTGGTGGCGTTTGAGAAGAAGTGATTTTGAAAAGTAAAAGACTACAAGTTAGAAAAATGTTTGTTAGAAAAATGTTATTTTTTGTGTCATAAAAAGTTAAAAACAGTTTAGAACATTTAATTTGGGGGAAAGTGTCAGATAAGCCCCCTTGAGTTGACCGCCTTTTCCACGTCTTTCTACAATGCGAGTCGATTCTCCGCCGCCTCACGCCTAGGTCTCGCCTTTTGACGCCTTTTAGAAAACTGGTTATACGTAGTAGTAATATATTATTAAATGTTATGATTAATCATTAGTACATGTTAATGTGTATATTCACACACTAACACAATACTAAGCATTACTTATTATATTTATATAAAGATATCGATAAAAGTATAAGTTCCAACCCGAGCACCCGCCTAACCGCTTAAGTGCCAGACGTTGGGTTGGCACTGGACTAATGACTAGCGCCATTTAGGTATGGATTTTAACATATAGTTAAGTTTTACTATGATTATAAAATAACAAATATGGAATATCAAATCAGTTTACAGTTACACTTACTAAATTTGTACACAAAAGCATGCCCTATCAACAAGACAACAACTATAAATAACACCGTTGCATCCTGTAATACAAGTATTTACTCCGCGCTTCATCCTCACCTTGAGAAACTTCTCAGAGGTCATAGTCACATGTTTTACGGCAACAGTCACATTTGTGGCAGCGAAAACGACATATGTTAGTGACATAGAAACATAGTAGTAGTAATGGGACGATATTTGCCTCCCTAAAGAGGAAGGGGGCCTTGGCATTCACAATGCTAAGATATGGAATCATGCCCTCCTCGCTCGCACTCTTTGGGATGTACATCTAAAGAAAGACACGCTCTGGGTACGTTGGGTGAACGGTGTATACCTTAAGGGTAAAACCGTGTGGGACTTTGTCCCACACACCCGAGACTCCCAGCTCATGAAGCGACTGAGTCTCATTCGTGATAAGATTCGGGGCTGTTTTAATAACTTGAATGATACGATTCTTGGCCTTAATTCCCGTTCCACGAATGGAAAATTAACCTCCGCCAAAATTTATGATTTGCTAAGAGTTAAGGGTAATGTTAGGACAACTATGAGTTTCATATGGAAATCCTACATCCCCCCAAACTCTCTTTTAACGTGTGGTTGGCTTTAAGAAACCGGCTTCCTACCCAGGATAGCCTCGGTTATCTACACATTGTGAATAGGTGTGACCTCTGCAAGGGTGGTTTGGAGACAATACCACACCTCTTTTTCCTCTGCCCCTTTACTTGTAGGGTGTGGGAGTACATAAGGAACTGGATGGGATTAAGGCATGAGATGACCACCTTGCTAAGTGCCGTGAAGTGGATTATGAAGACTCATAGAGGATCGACGCTGAAGGCAAAGGCAGCCCGCCTAGCATTCTGCGCCGCGGTGTATTATATTTGGCATGCGCGTAATGAGATACGATTTGATGGGGGATCAAAGACGGAGGAGAATATTATTGCGAAGATTAAGCATGTGGTGTATAAGGTCCTATACAACTTATAGCCACATGAACTAATCAACTTTTGATGGTGGATGCTGAAGCCGCGGCATAACCTCCTTGGACTTGAGTGTGCACTCTGCAACACATCGGACTTCTGGTTGGGGCTAAGGGGAGAATTCACTATAACCTCCTCTTGGCTAGGTTCTTTGTATTTGTTTTGATGTACTGTTATGATCTATGTGCGTGCAACACTGATTTCTTTTTCTGATTTTTGGGCATTTAGTATTGTATACTTAGGCCCTTTTTGAGTGTTGACCTTAGATTAGATCGAATAAAAACCTCTCCTAACCCCTACACTAGGTAGGGGTGGGGGAGGTTTTAGGAGATCTAGAACTTTTTTGATGTATATTTTTCTGGGTGTTAATATATATATTTACATTTCATCCAAAAAAAATAAAATAGAAACATAGTAGTAACTTCATATTTTTACAAATGTACTACCTTCTTAGTAACATTTTTGTCCATATGTAAAAGTACTCATTTTTTTTGAAATAAGCTTAAAATCAATTATATTCTAGGAAAAATCCTTAAATGTTACTTTCACTTTTTACGTGGTTATCCACTTCTCAAGCGATCTTTTTAGTATATTCAAACATCATCATTTTAATCTGATTCATCTGAATTTGATATGGTTTCACCATCCTAATCCTCTATTATACATTTATACTCCGTATATCCTTTAACACAATTCACACAATTTTGCTGAGCTGATTTCTATCCAAACTAGATCTAGTCAATCAAGATTAAGATCTAAACGGTCTCATTAAAAATCATAAGATCGTGGATTCGTGGGTCGGGCGTGAGGCGTCAATTGAAAGGCCCAAAACTCTGTTTCACAAGTGCGCTTTTGGTCCGTTGTCTTTCATTATCCGATCCTTCGCTGCCCGCCTAGCAAGCGTTCGACCATTTGCCTGAAAGAAGCCTCGAGCAGCGGAGAAGGAAGTCATGAGTGCCGGAAAGTTGAAGAACTTGCTGGCATCGGTAGCCATCGGAGGAGTGACCGAGGCGAGGGCGAGCATATTTGGCCACGTGCTTAACCCCACGGGCGAAAGATCTGCTCATAAAATTCTGCGCAAGAAGCTGATTGGAGACAAGGTTTCGCAGTGGTACCCCCATGACATCAGAAAGGACGACCCTCTCATCATGGCTCGAGAAGAACAAGAGTATTTCCTTCCTCTGATCTCCTATCTGAGTTTATTCTAAAATCCAAATTGTGTGTATTCTTCATACTACACTGAAACAATGCACTGGCTTTTGTATATGGTCGTGTTTCTTCGCTGCATCAAATATATTGTTTGAGTTCTTGGCTGTGCTTATCGTATCTTTGGTGAAGCATAGTTACTGAATCATTCTTGTATGCTTACTTATGCTCTATTATTAAGAAGGATATATATCGTCACAACCTTTCAAATCACTTCATGCTTAATAGAATGAAAATAAGGAATAGAATCCTTGTAGACTTGTAGTAGACCCCTGGCTGGAATGATATTAGGATTTAATTGAGTTGAAGTGAATTTATTGGCCGTCTGATACAATTCTTCAAGCATATATTTGAAGGGTCATGGAGAAGCTTTTTTTAGTAAAGAAATTTCTTTCAGACAAATCCACTCTAAGCATTTGATGTTTCATTAGAACTTCACATAGTTGACATAGATAAATGCTTTTGTTGGAGTTTCAAGTGAAAATAGGATTTCAAGAATTATGAGCTTAGATGGCTAATGCTGATAGATCTACACTTTGTAAAAGGACTTCTTCTTGACCCCATTCCCCCAACAATCATTTGGTTCAAGGAGATGAACACTGTCTGGAATGTGCCAACTACTAACCCGAGTCTTTGCCTTGGCATATTGGATAAGTGCATGTATAAGATGAAGAAATCAAAATGACTCCCTGTTTTCAACTTTGGAGCTTAAAAATATTAGCCACTCCTTTTTATTTGTTCTTAGCTGGTTCCTGCTTTGCTTTGCAAAGTGATAAAATGAAAGCTAGAACTATTGTTGGTAGCTAAATAGGCACTCCCTCTGTTGCACAAGTCGTGTCTTTTTTTAGAAATCACTCAGATTCAGTTACTAAATGAAGAAAAACATTACAATGCTCCCCTTCGTAATACTACCTCCGTTCCCATTTTAACTTCCAAATGAGTTTGGCACAAAGTTTAAGATAGTGGATATTGTGTGGTGGAGAGTTGTGCAAAGGAGAGAGAAATGTGTAAGAAATGTTGTGAACCACAAATTCTTTACCAAAAAGGGAAAGTGGAAGTTTTAATTGGAATGGACGAAAAAAGAAAGTTGGAAGTTTATTTAGGAACGGAGGAAGTATTTAATTATCATTGAAGATTTTTTTCTTAGGTGTTAAAGATGGAAACCATCAGAAATAGCATTATATATTGTCTTGGATTTTATAGAGAAAATACGATGAAACATTTTTTCCCTCCAAAACAACATTTGTCAATTGGAGATAGTAGTAGTTATTAGCACCGAGGGCGAGGAGACTGAGAAACTAACATATAAATGCTTAGTGATGTTTTCCGATGTATGTGGTTGTTCCTACTTCTATCCACAAATGCACAGAGTAGTGTTAGCTTTTAATACAATCATATGATGATGATGATATAAATAGTTTTTTAATATAATATTCTCAATGGTGTGTGATTTAACAGGCGCTTAAGTAAGCTTGAAATGTTGAAGCGCCGAGGTAAGGGACCACCTAAGAAGGGGCAGGGAAGGCAAGCAAAGAAGCGGAACAAATAGGCATTGTCTCTAGATCGTCTAGTAATAGTTTACCAAGCATTAGTGTTTTTTTATTTTATGGCTAGTTTTTCTCTCTGGTATTTTTTGTCATGGTCAGACTATATTTACTACTATCTGTCCTGGAAAAAGAAGTTATGTTTGTAATAATAATTTTAATACTGAAATCAGAGATTTGTTTGTTGTGCAGACGGATTACTTTATTGAACAACATAAATTATTTAAAATATAATGTCAATGCCAGCATTCCTCTTTTTATCATCAGACTCTCTAGCCCTGAGAAGAGAAAGATTTTGTGTACACCCTTCTAGAATGTATTATTTGTGAATTGTGAGCCATATCTTCTCGGCTTCTGATATGGCCAAACATCTTAAGGACTTGAAAATGGGATTGAACTGGTTGGTTGGTAAAGACATCAACAGACTAATGAATATTAAAACTTCTACATCTGATTTCAATTGTTACTATTCATTTATTCTGGACAAAAAATGGAATTGGTCAATCAAAATGATTGAAAATGCAAAGATGTTGTTTGCTAATGCAAAGATCTTGGTTGCTAATAAGTCAAGGTACTACACCTCTAAAATGTCTAAAGTGCAGTGGAAAGAATTCAAAAAGAATTTGATCTTTTTGACGTTGGCAGTATAAAACATTAAAACACTTGTGTCCACCTTTAACAATACATAATTGCAACTGTTTGACAATACACAACTTTGACCATAGTTCTATATGATTACATATTAATAGAAAATGATTAATATTTTGGAATTTAGTCCGTGCATAATAATTTGATTATACTGCAAATATATATTAGTAGAAAATCATGATCATATGTGAATAATGTTAAATTTAAAGTATTGCAATGGAATTAAGTTTAATCAAGTGAGAAGGTAAAAGAAATTAATATTGAAAAGAAAGGCAGAAATGGTCAAAGTATCCGAGATAAAAGATGGTCGGATTGTTATTAGAAAAGATGAATAAAGAAGGGTTCTGAGAAATGAAGCGATACAAGAGATGGTTGCGACGGAACGTTGTCATATATTCGATCCTAACATTATAAATAGCAACGAACGTACGAACGTTGTCATATATTCTCATTCATCGTATGCATCCTGATTAATTTCTACCAAACCGGCCATTTGATTTAATTACTAACTTCGTTCAATTTTCTCACGCCCAAAATGGGAAAAACTGGAAGAAAAATCTGCATATGGATTCTAATAATAGCGGATATTGCAGCAGCAGCTTGTGCGATTTTCGCAGGATTACTTAAGCAGCGTAAGGTAAATTATACTTCCCTACCTATATACTCATCATTCACTTTAATTTCCTATTGTTTTACTACTTTGGTAATAATAATACTATCGATCGAATGATTCACAAGCTAAGTCACGTTTTATGAATCAAAACGTACATTCAGTCATCCACACACATACTGGGCTACCATGTCCTTTAGGGTGTTTTACCCGAATACCAGAAAGAGGGGTTCGGGGTGCCAAATAACGGGGATTTTTCTAGGTTTTATCAAATAGGGGGAGTCGGATTAGGGGATTCCGACTAGAGGAGGGTTTCCAAAAAAAAACCTAACATCCTATCGAATTAGGGGATTCTGACTAGGGGTTTATTTTTTTTTTTTTACGTAATTCTAAAATTTTTTATTTTAAGTTTTAAAAACTAAAAGTTTTAAATTTTTGATTTTAAGTTTTAAAAACTAATTTTTTTTGCGTAATTCTAAAATTTTTGATTTTAAGTTTTAAAAACTAAAAGTTTTAAATTCTAGGGCTAAATTCTATCCATTCCAAATTTTAATTTTTTTTAGATTCATGACATATTTTTTAAAATGAAAACTTAGCATTTTCATTTTTTGAGTAACAAAACATTTGATTGCTTTATATTGTTTTTAAATCCATTTGTATTGTGAATTTTGTTGTACGTGCAATTTTTGTAATTTTAAGTGCAATTTTGATTTAATCCATTAGTCAAATGAGATACCAATTTGATTTTTTAGATTCATGACATATTTTTGAAATGAAAACTTAGCATTTTCATTTTTTGAGTAACAAATAATTTGATTGCTTTATATTGTTTTTTAATCCATTTATATTGTGAATTTTGTTGTAATTGCAATTTTTGTAATCTTAAGTGCAATTTTGATTTAATCCATTGGTCAAATGAGATACCAATTTGATTTTGTTTTAGGTGCAATTTTTGTAATTTTAATGGAAGTGAAAAAAACAAATGTAGTTTTCAATGTAATTTATTAATGAATAGACAGTACATACAATATTAAATTTAATACTATATCTAACGTTGCGTGCTCGGTCCTGCTCCGTCCCCACCACCAGTGTTCCAAGGCCCCGTTGTGTCTCCATAGTAAAATGACGAATCGAGAAATGAATCAACATAATCACCCGCTTGTGTGGAGTAATGATAAGAATCATAATACGGCAGTGGTTGATCAAATGAGACACCTTGATGTGCTGAGAATTGAGGGGGTGGTTGATCAAATGAGACACCCCGTGTTGATAATTGATGGGGCGATTGTGAGTGCTCACCCCCACCTTCATGTTCATCTGTATCATCCTCTTCGTCACTTCCACCTTCATCTTCATCTTCATAATGGAATACACCTCGGCGGAGCATCTCTTCATCACCTACGGCCAGGGTCATCTGATGAAGTCGTTTTTAACAGTCGTCATGACTCGCGCGGTCGGCTAAGAGCCGATTCACCTCGTAAAAGCCTTGCTTCTGCATAAAAATGTAACACGTGTAAATAATATGCCACGATATATGTTAATGAATATGGAATGTGTTAAAAAACTTACCACAATACCCCAATGGCGTGATGTCAGGGTGTAGCCTGTCGTGGGCACAATGTGAGAAGGGTTCTGGAGATGTGTCATGTCATGCTTCTTGTACCATTTTCGGGACCTCGTAGTTGCTTCGTAGGACATATGCTGATCATAATCAAGATAGTATATGTTATGTTGTATGTCCGCCCACATCGCCAAGGCACCGATTACTATGTTGGAACGATTGCCGTGATGATCAGTACCCGCCAAAGGAGCATCCGGAGTATCTTGCCTTATATGGAACTGCCGAAGAAATCGATCGGGGTAATGTATTTTGGCCATATTGCAAAATATGAGCATGACCCTAGTCGACCAAAGCGGAGCGTCCTGAAGGATGATAGGTGGGAGTTCCTCGTCCGCGTAGGGAGTGAAATCAAACTGTAAAAAGTTTAATTTGCAATTTAAGAACTATAAAACAATGTGTATTGAAAATTGAATAGTACGGTGGAAGTAAAAATTTCAAGTACTACATGACTCTCTCTCATGCGGTTTAGGTCATCCTGGTACAAGCGTATGCAGTGTCTTGTGGATCCCTTATATGACTGCGGGACGACCCACCTACATTTATTGATTACCGATATGAAGTTAAAAAATCTAACGTTATATAAAGCATTATCAATTATTAAGATGTAATTGCCAACATACCTGCAGCCATATGAAAGATGGTCGTGTTGAATGAGCCTTATCCTTAACGGTTGGACCACTGAGGGGCCTACCCCGAATGGGAAAACCAAGGATGATCGACACATCCTGTAGACTAATGCCGACCTCACCGAATGGAAGATGGAAAGTATGTGTCTCCGACCTCCATCTCTCCACCAAAGTAGATATTAAACTATGATCCACCTTCATACGGGCAATGTGCTCTACCCCCAAGAAGCCAGCATATGCTAACATATCTATCACTCTTTGATCTCGCTCTTCATCTCTGAATGCCTGAGAAGGGCAACTGACGCATTTCAAGCACGAGTCTTTGTCATCTGGTTCATACCATACACGGTCCGCACGATGGGCACGCAATGACAACGTGAGTAGTGAACGGTTAACCGGCCCGGGGCGCGGAATGTTTTGGCCCATTTGAAATTGCTAAATTAAGCAGCTATAAATTACTAAATTCTAATTTTAACGGTGAACACAATTTTAACTAAAATAAGTACTTGTAAGGTCATAAATTCGAATTTTAACGCAAAGTCTAATTCGAATTTGAAATAACTACACTTTCTAAGTTTCTAGTATTTTATATAGCTAAATTTTACTCTAAAAGTCCAATTTCATAATCTAAATTAAAAATTTACAAATTAATAAATTAACTACTTCTACACTCATAAAACCGAAATTTAAGGCAAATTAAAAATGTAACACAATTTCTAATTTTCAAGTATTTTATAGCTATTTTTTACTCTAAAAGTCCAATTTCACAATCTAAATTAAAAACTTACAAATTAATAAATTAACTACTTCTACACTCCTAAAACCGAAATTTAAGGCAAATTCCAAATGTAACACAATTTCTAATTTTCAAGTATTTTATAGCTTTATTTTACTCTAAAAGTCCAATTTCACAATCTAAATTAAAAATTTACAAATTAATAAATTAACTACTTCTACACTCCTAAAACCGAAATTTAAGGCAAATTAAAAATGTAACACAATTTCTAATTTTCAAGTATTTTATAGCTATATTTTACTCTAAAAGTCCAATTTCACAATCTAAATTAAAAATTTACAAATTAATAAATTAACTACTTCTACACTTATAAAACATAAAATTAAATAACCTGAAAATTTGGCTGATTCCAAATGTTTGATTTGGTAGTCAATACTATGCTTTGGGATTGATAAAATTGAGATTGAGTAATGATGTAAGAATGAGTATTGATAAAATTTAGAAGATATTTATAAGGGAAAAAGAGCTGCGAGCGTACGAATTAAAGCCTCCTCTCAGTCGGATTAGGCAGTTCCGACTGGAGGTTCTTTTTTGTTTTCGAATATCCCTCCCAATCGGATTAGGTAGTTTTGACCGGAGATATTGCATTGTGGCCTTCGATGGTGATCCGCGTGCTTGTTTCAACGATTAGGATTAATAGGAATATGTTTCTTTGGAGTTAGAATGTTTTGTTTGGAGTTAGGTAGGAGTACTGAATGGTATTGGTAGGAGTAGATGGAATATTGAATTATGTTAAAGGTTGGCGAGAATATTGATTAATTAACTTATATCTGATAAAATTTATCTGATTATACTTATGTGATTAAATTTTATCTGATTAATTTTATCTGATTAAATTTATCTGATTAGATTTATCTCATTATATTTTATCTGATTAAATTTTCTATGATTAAATTTTATCTGATTAATTTTATCTGATTAAATTTATCTGATTCTATTTATCTGATTAAATTTTATCTGATTAATTTTATCTGATTAAATTTATCTCATTATATTTATCTCATCTGATTAAATTTTATTTGATTATATTTTATCTGATTATATTTTATCTGACAAGTTTTTCTAATTAAATTTATCTGATGGAATTTATACAATGAAAAAGAGAACAAATATTTCATTAGTAATCGGATGCAAAACAAAAAATCCAACAAGGTATACATTACAATATTACTCATGTCCTCTTCTTGTAGCACGCAAATCCATTTCATTAGGAAATCGAGTTCTCTGTGGCCTACCGGCTCAGGCCGATTTATTGTTTGTGGGCGGGAGAAGTGTATGCGATGTTTCTGCCATGACATTGAGGTAATTATTAATAGGCATAATATCGGATGCGTACGTCCGGATGTACGCATTTAACGAATACACAACTGAGATGAGGCCGTCTACGGTTATTTTTAAAAACCGACAAAACCGCATACGCGTGAACACATGGCATCCCGTTCTGCTTCCAATACTCGCACCCACATTCCTGCCTTGTCAGATCGATTGTGGCTGGATCATGCGAACCAATAGCTACAGAGTAAATTCCCGTTGATCGATTGTGTGGGACAATAGTTGTGTGATACCTACGCTGTGACCGCTCAAGAACATCCTTCCATATGTTCTGTGGATACAAGAATCCCGCTTGGTGCCACATTATTCCCGCATTTCGTCGATCGGTAAATAGTTGGACGACTTTGTCGAATGTGGTCTTTACTAGTGTTGTGATAGGCAATGTGCAACATCCCTTTAAGACATTGTTTTTCAGAAAGGTTTGTCGTCAAAATGTCATATCTTTTGCCATCGTCATAGCTCAGGGCCCACATCTCAACATGAATCTCATTCAAATATAGAAAGGCACTTTCATTTATGCCTCGTATTTGTTCCATACACTCTTGAAATTCCTGTTCTGTGGGAGTGCTACCAGCTTGCCAACATAACTTTTTAAGTTCCGCGTTCCTAAACTTGGTCATAAAATTACTCCGTATGTGACAGAGGCAATAACGCTTTGAAACTTGTGGCGATCTCAACTCTGGCAGGGCTCTAAATGCACTTTCAATTCCTTCATGACGATCGGATATAATGCACACACTACGATGTCTTCCAACCACATCACACATAACCCTTGCAAAGAACCACGACCAACTGTCAGCATTCTCACTCTCAACAACAGCATATGCAAGAGGAAATATCTCACGGTTAGCGTTTATGACTACCGCAACTAGAAGAACCCCCTTGTCTTTGCCATATAAGTGAGTGCCATCAACCGAGACTACGAGTAAGCAAAATCTGAAATCGTCTATAGAAGCTTTGAATGACCAGAACACTCGGCGGAATTCGGACGTATGAGGACTGTTAGTCTGTTGTGATTGCAAATGAACAACAGTCCCCGGATTTGAAAACTGTATAGCTTCCAACAACTTAGGAAGTTCATTATATGACGCCTCCCAATTGTCGAATTTACGCTCTAGAGCGATCAAACGTCCATTCCAAGCTTTTTTATATGAAACACGGATATTAAATGTTTCATATATCTCTGACATTATCAGTTTAATGCTGTAGTCCGGGTCGACTTTGACTTTTGGCGCGATTTCACTGGCTATGATCTTGGCCGTTAGGATCCTGTCATCCCGAGCCATTCTAGGATCCTCCCTACAACTGTGATGGGGTTGATATTTTTTAACTTTCCACTTTTTTGACGTCATACCTTCTCCTGCTTGGATATGCCAAGTGCAAAGGGTCGGGTCTATGTAAACCGCCTTCCAGGACCGGTTTGCGCACACAAACGAGAGTTCCACGGTCTTTTGTCAGCCGTTCTAAATTGACGAAATTGACGAATGTTTTCTCTCGCCACCGCTTCTTTCAGTAAATCATATGAATCGTAAACTGCGCCGACTTCGATCCTTTCAGGCTGAGAATCCACCGGTACAACATATGATTCTTGTAGCTCCACATTGGCCCAGGTTGTGTCTACTTCCTCGTCACCATCATCGCTTGTACTGTGGATGAATAGGCGTCACTACTAAAACCTTATTCATAGTCAGGGTCATCCGACTCTTGACCCGAGTTTATGACTCTACAGAGTAGACACATTCATAAATTTCAATATTATTAGTTACTACAAAAAATAAATAACATTTTATTTCAATGTTATAAAATGTACTTTGAATAAAAAATACTAAAGTAAATACGTCTATTTATTTCTAAAGTTATAGTTTAAATAAAAAAATGTAATTTATATATTTTAATTTATATAATTTCTTAAAATAAAAGAGAACTTTTCTAAAACCACCCTCCTAGTCGGAATTGGGCTTTCCGACAGGAGGTTTTTTTTTTCATTTCAATTCGATACATTTATAAATTTTAATTTACTCCCTCCGTCCCTAAAACAAGTTACCTGTTTGACTTCACACAGATTAAGAAAATAAATTTGACTTTACTGTGGAGTGCACTGTTTTGCACTGTTCAAACACTGTTTGACACTGTTTGACACTGTTTTGATGTAGATAATTAGCCGAATAAGGAAAGTAAGGAAGTGTGAACTTAATTTAGGGACTACCCAAAAGGAAAGTGTAACTTAATTGCGGGACGGAGGGAGTATATAATTTCTTAAAATAAAAAATATTTCTAAAAAACACCCCTAGTCGAAATTAAGCTTTCCGACAGGAGGTTTTTTCATTTTTTTATTCATTTTAATTTGATACATTTAAAATTCATTTTTAATTTTCATTAAAAATCTAAAATTCATTTTCAATTTACACCGAAAATTAAGGCAAATTCCAAATGTAACACACTTTCTAACTTTCAAGTATTTTATAGCTAAATTTCACTTTAGAATTCCAATTTCACAATCTAAATAAAAAATTTACAAATTACTAAATTAACTACTCCTACACTCCTAAATGTAACACACTTTCTAACTTGCAAGTAATTTATAGCTAAAATGTAATAGAGATATATTTAATATTAATATCACAACAATTTAATATTAGTATTATTTACTTTAAATGTAAAACCGAAATATTAGTATTATTTAATATATCTCAACGATTTGGTAGAGATAATATATACTTTAATTAATTATAGCCTAAGTAGAGATATATTTTAATTATAGCCTAAGTAAAGATACTTTAGTTATAGTCTAAGTAGAGATATATTTGGTAGAGATATACGATTTGGCAGAATTATTTAATACTTTAATATACTTTAATTATAGCCAAATTAGCCGCAATATATTATAGTAGAGATAATATATACTTTAATTAAAGCCTAAGTATATAATACACTAAGTAATACATATATTACTAATATTAGTGATATATATAGTCATTATGTTATAATATTTAAGATAAGCCTATGATATCTAATTATTGATTATACAACGCTCAATCATAGCCAAATTTAACTCTAAAACTCCAATTTAACAATCGAAATTAAAAAACTTACAAATTACTAAATTTACTTGAACAATACATACCGAGAGATTCGTAGTTCTGAAACGTTTGGCGGTTGTTCCTCCGATCATATACTGATGACGGGCCTTCCTCTCTGAGAGTTCCGTGGAACGTCAAATTTTGTGGCGGGGTCGCAAAAGCTTCCACGTAAATGTGCAATTCCTCATACTCTTTTGTAGCGATCCGGAAAAAATGACGCCATGTCTGCTCATCGTGAATGCGCCATAATCTAGAAGCAACATATACCGAATTCTTATATCTTGGCATTTTCCGAAAATTAATTTAATTTCGGAAAATTCGTCGCCTCTAACATGATTTAGAACATTCTCATGTATACTAGTATAATCATCTCCTTCACTAATGAATAGTATCGCTCTAGGAGGTACGGATTACTCTATTTCATCATCTTTTTGAGTTGTAAAGCCATTCCAATGAACCATAACAACAGTATTGTTCTCGGTAGACATTTTTATATATGGTATATATTATAAATATAATATGAGAGGAGCTGAGAGTGCTAAACAAAAAAATAATGAATATATTAAGAAAGAAAGAAGTGTTTTTGGAGTGTGTTTTAAATTTTGAGAAGAAATGAATGGATTTTATAGGAGAGATTAGGGTAGGAGTTTAGTGGGAAACTAGGCAAAAAATACGAGTCGGTTGGTAAAATGCTCGAACCAAAATTAAACACATCATTTTTTTTTAAAATATCAAAATACCCTAGTCGGATTCCCCAATTCCGACTAGGTTTTTTTATTTAATTTTATCCGCATTAAACACATTGTTTTTTTAAAAAAATCAAAATACCCTAGTCGGATTCGCCAATTCTGACTAGGTTTTTTAAATTAAATTCACAATAACGCCACGTCGGATTGCCCATGTCACGCCTCAGACCGCATCTAGGCGCGTGTACAATCGCCGTATGACCAAGTAACGCCACTCGCAAGTCAACGTGTCTTAATCATACCAGGCGTC